GTTGTACGCTTTTAATGCGGTACAAAAATGCGGGAAAAAAATAATCTTAAAAAAATATAATAATAATTTCTTTACTTTTATTTTTTTTTTTTTTTCAATCCGATCAATATAATACCCGGCGGAGAAAATCCCACATGTTATCATTCCGATTATAATTGTCTGAATAATTTCGCCTTTGTATTCTATTGTCCGACGCGTATGCGTTTGGTTTTGTTGTTTTATTTACACGTCGCTTGGGTCGACCTCGCAGGACACGGGGCAATACGAATCCACGAGTGCAGTTTAATAAGATTCGAGAGTTCTAATAAGAAATTTGAAAGTGCTTTTTCTCTTGGTTATTTCAATAGTTTTTTTTCGTAAAGAAAATACTTATTACTGATATTTCTTTTTGTTTTTTACTTTTTTTTTTTTTTTAAAAAGCACTTATCTCAGTACTTAAATGGCTTATAATGAAGTTTTTCAATTATTATTTTATTGATTTTAAACGATATATAAGTTTCGAACCCTGCTTATGACAAAACTATTTTGAAATAAAATAAAAATACAGAGATTAACATTTTTTTTTTTTTCAATGTGATATTAATCATTCAGACCATAAATACAGATACGTATACCATCACAATAAATCATAGAAAAAGTAGTCATTTTTTTTTTTTTTTTATGAATTATGTATGTGTTATGATGTTTCTAACATTCAATGGTATAGAATTTATTAAAATAATAATTTAATTTATAATATTAAAATATATATTATATAATTATTATAAATCTTTACATATTAGTTGGATATTGTAAAATATATAATCATTTTTTTAAGTTTAAACCCTTCAAATTGGAATGAACATTCATGTAACCAAATTTTTCAATATTGAATAATATTCAAAATCCGCCACTTTCATAAATTCACAATTTTTTTTTTTTTTTTTATAGTCTCCCTGTGAAAATATGAAATGTGACATAAAAATGGTTGCTGTTGACCTCACACCATGAGTCTATCTCTCTTAAGCTCGATCGGTCAATGGAAAGCCGCTAAAAGTTCAAAAGAGAAAAATATATAATATTTTATACCTATATGTAAAAGAAACAGTACAGTACAGTGAGACGGTCTCCGTTGTCGAAGGAAATTCGACAAAAACAGCGTACACGGACAAACGAGGCGTCGACACGAGAGATGTCGTTAATTTAAAAAAAAAAAAAAAACTTAAAACAAATTATACAGTGCGAATTATAATAAATAGATATAGTATGTACTATAGATTTGCTATCTCCCGTAATGTTTTACGAAAAAACCCATATTTCAAACCAAGGTCGTCCGGCCCGGAGATTTTAGTAGTGAGCTCGCCTAAAAAAATATGCACGTTAGATCATATTGTATAATATAGCGTACAGTGCATACAATTTATTATAACACAAGTGTACATAGATATATTGTCCGGATAGTTGCAGCGTCTCCGTTATTAACTACCTATGTAATATACAAGAAATTTACATTGACCACAAAACAGCTATTTCGACTCGATTAGCATCAGCCGAACACGGTGTACCGAGCAATAAACTAAATTTTTTTTTTTTTTCAAATCTAATGATGTGGATATATATATATTTATATTTTTTACGACTCTCGTAATAGATTCAGAAAAGCAGAATCGCAGACCGTGGGAAACGCTCGTGTGCGCCCGGGCAACGGTGATAAATGCATCTGCCCATTATTTCGCGTTATCGATACGACTATGAGACGTGTGTATAATAATATTAATATTCACGAACCTGGTGGCGTTATTTTTTTTATTCTTTTTTTTTTTTTTTACCGCTCAACTTGAGGTGTATAATATAGTATATGAGATATAAGTTATAGCGATATAATATTGGAACCGTTTGTTTTCGCCCCGGCTACATCGAAAACTGAAGATAAATAAAACTCAGTGTGCCTATAAATATTAATAATCGAGATCGGTATTTATGTAATATACGATCGGCAGGGGGAACGATATTCGCGGGTGGTCTGGTTTCCATGATAATATTATACGTACACCTATAGGTATCTAATTAAGCGGTTCAATTAAAATCGGTGTAAAATTATAATAATCGGTTATTAATGAAATGTGTAGGAAATAAAAAAAACACCCCGAACCGCCTACCGCACTACCGTAATTTTTAATGTATTTTTGTTCTCCTATAATGCGTGCCTGAGATTGCTTATTACACCTGCAGCAGTAGTCCTGTAAAAAAAAAAAAAAAAATTACCCGCCTATTATGTTATACTATAGAAACAAACAAACATTTCGAAAATAATAATAAAGTCGGGATGCTGCGTAGATAATATAGGTAAAATATGTAGTATAGTGTAATAGGCGTACATTTAGCGTTTTTAATATTTAATTTTTGATTTAATTGTATACGATTTATACGGAACTAAAGGCGTTTTTAATAGATAATAATTATAATAACATTACGCCGAAACGTAAAATATGCACATTTTGAAAACGGAAGGCCGGTCAAACGTTATAATATTATATTATTAATTATATCCTGAATAGCTGTACAGGCCAGTTTCGTGAATGTCGAGTATTCGCATAATAATACCTAATAAATTGTTAAATATCTAAAGTTGAACAAATGTATAACCCCGGGCGGTAGAGAATTATTCAGTGTTTGGAATTCGGAAAGAATGCATACGGGTGAGTACGTTGAATTAAATTCCTTTCTAGAGGAATGCATTTATGAATGCAATATTGATATTATTATTATTTTTTTTCATTTTTTATCAAAGGAACACTGATGAAAACCTGAAACGCATTAAGCCCCCGTTTGATGAAAATACCTAAGCACAAAGATCAATCGGAAAAGACCAAAAAGCTTTCGAGGTATTTGAAAGAGTATAAATCGGAACGACAGACTCTGTATAGCTTTACTATAATATTTGTTATCACCGGTGGATTTACGAAGGGGGGGGGTCCAGGAGATCTTGTTCACCCTCATCCTAAGCTCCAATATAATTTCAATAAAATTTCATTCAAAAAAGAGGTATCTAACAATAATAGACGTACCTCTAAAATACATATTATTTTGCAGGACCCCTCCCAGAAAAATGTTGAAAATCCGCCACGGATTGCTATGCGATACGATATTAAATATTATAATTTAAATGGTATTTTTATGGTTTTTAAGCGTTTATATAATAGATATCGTACTTGGATTAAGTAAAATTAATACAATGTAAAATATAAATCCGAAAAGGGGTGTATAATCTATCTATCTAACCTAACCTAATCGATGTATACTTTGTAATGTGTTGTAATGTACGTTTTTTCCAAGTTTTCTCATGTTTTTTTCCCGGTTTTTCCGATTTCTCGAGAAAAATCCTGGAAAAATCAAAAAATTACCTGTTTAGAACACCACCCCAGTCAGATTTCCCTTCGGAAAAAGTGCTGTTATTGTAAATCGGAGCGAAATTGCTGGCAGAAAAGTTTCCGCAGAAAAAAATAAAAAATAAATATCATTCTAATACATTGCTCGTTTCGCTCAGAATCTAAAAGGTATTGTATTGGTATTTTCCGTGTTTATTTAATCAAAATAAAACAATGAAATGGAATTGAGTTTACGCATTACATTATTGTTTGTAAACATTTCTTAACGAATCGTTTAAAAATAATAAATAAACCGGAAAACATACTATGATAAAAACGACGGCTGAAAGATGAACGAATTTAGAGCCCGACTCGTTTCAAATGACATGGATTTTGCTTTAAAATAAAATAATAGTTGTAATAAAATATATTTTTGTTTTTACGTTTTGAATGTTAGCGTGTCGATAGCACACTTTTTTTTTTTTTTGTTTATAAAATTTGCAATTTAAATTTGAAACACATACGAAAATTAAATATAATCATTTAATTGGTATATTATTATAATTTGTAGGTATAATAACAATAAAATATTTATTCGATGGCCTTAAAAAACATTTTTGTTCTCTTTTTTTTTTCGGGTCCGAATTCAAGTGGAATCGGTTATTTTTCCCAACACTACATATGATAAATTAAACAAGATATTCCCCGTGAAATTCGTGAAATACGAAAATTGATTATAAAAATCACCATATTTTATACAATAATATTTCGATTTAAAAACTGGAAATATTGGTTAGGAACTTGTTTTTTTAAATATTTTTTATTAGAAGCGTACGATTTGAATTATGAATAAAAGGAAGGTCGAAGAAATGCGTGTATATTAATAAATAGATATCCAATAAAACATAACTGTTGTGATATTTATATTTAGCTTAATAAAATGTAGGATATATTTTAAGAATGTCGAAAAAACATTTTTTTTCTCTCTAACTACGATTAACGATTTACCAGCTACCAATGTGTAATTTCTAAAATCCTTTTGAATTTAAGTTTTAATTAAGAAAAAAAAAAAAAAATGTTTAGTTTTATATAGATATTAAGATTTCAAAATCCGGACGGAGACGTTTGAGGAATTCAAGACTACAGGTGGGACATTGGCCGCGGGCGTCACATTTTTTTAAGGGGGCGTCATAATCTCTTGAGACGTGTTAAAATAGTAATTTTTATTTAATATAACCTCATCCTATACAGTGTACACTTCCATAGCAGGGCCTGAAATAGTGTGTTTTATAGCGAAAAGTGTACCGCTCGAAATTCCAATGCGTTGTAAATAAAATGTGATCTTATAAAAGGTTCAAATGCTAAAAATGAAGAGTGTCCCAAAACACCAGGAATGCAAATACGTCTCTGATTTAGGATTACTTGTAATCTAGATGATTTTGTCTGTCTGCGTAGCCCTGATCAAATTTCCGAAAACTTGTTGTCAATTTTATCTTTTACGTTGTTCTAATACGAAGGTTGTCCCAAAAGTAATGCACAACGCGCTCTAGATGTCTTGCAATGTGATATTATCAGCTGATTTTAGTATCAGTTTGTAGCTTGAAGTCTAACGAACACGTGCGTTTTCAGTTTTAGTTGTTTTAGTAAAGTATGATGATGTGTGAGAGCGATAACGAAAGTGAGAACAATTCGTCGGCTCACATTTCTGTTTTTGAGCAACGCGCATACATTAAAATCGAAACGATTCGTGGTAAAACAGTGCCTGAAATTCATGCCGCGTTAAATGAAGTGTGTGGAACGGATACTGTGGATCGTAGTACGGTGCAAAGATGGCATCAGCGATTCCGTGATGGTCGTATAAGTATTGATAACAACCCTCGCTCTGGCCGACCCTCTACGGTTACTCAAGACAACACTAACGCGGCTATTCTCGCAACTCTACTCGATGAAGACCGACGAATTGGCAGTAGTGTAACCGGGGATTACTACAAAACATTCCTTGCCAAAAAATTGCGACCAGAAATCTGTAAAAAGCGACCAGGAATGTTACAAAATGGTGAGTCCATATTGCACGATAATGCGCGGCCGCATATCGGAACACCAGTCGTCGCTCTTTTGGAGAAATATGGATGGGAACGCCTCAAACACCCACCGTATTCGCCGGATTTAAGTTTTGATTTATTTCCAAAACTGAAGGAACCACTTAGAGGGATCCGTTCTCCCAACTTAGATATACATACTCGTATGTACTCGTGTAGACTTTTCTGGGTTCCGAAACCCTATATATCGTTGCGGTAGCGTTGTCTGTCCGCCCGTCTGACTGCCATTAACGAATAAGACGTTTTAGACCAAAAAGCCAGGCACTAACGGGATAATTGAGTTTGACAAATTTTAATTATGAAAACGGCATTTTTATCGATTAACAAATTTACTGTAGGTCACGATGAAGTCGATTTTCAATATCAATTTTTTTCCCCGCTATGATGTGGATAGACAAACTTAACGTATTTTTTTAGTAATCCAATTCCGTATTCAAAATTAAAATCCTCCGCCAAACTCAAACTCTTCAGTTTTGTCTAGATTTTCGGTATAAATACTGTTTATTGTCAGCGTTTGTAATTCATTTGAAGTTATTAAGTCCGTTAAAACGTACAATATAGTTAAGCTCGTCGTACGACTTATATATTTGATTGTGCTAGCAGGCTTTGCTAAAAATGGTAAAATGGTCAAATTTTCTGCTGAAAAAACATTGAAAAAAATCCCAAAAATGTCTATAAGGGGACCAACTTGGCTTACCTTTCTTAAGTTTCCCATTTATACTGTTATACTTTTAAATACTATATACGGTAATTGCGTAATATGTTACTATAATTTTGCGCGGCCCGACCGTAGTTGGGCGTAGTCATTACGCGCGGATTGTTTACTTTACTAGGCTATCGAACTCGGAAACTGCACTTTTAAGAAATCGCGGATCGATCGCCGGCACTTTTTTTCCGTCTTAACGACTGCAATGCAGAAACTACCGTAAGTGTATTATGCATAATAATGTAATAATACCGCATGCAGATTTGCATACCGGTACTATATTGTGACAAACGCTCGATAATAAAACGGAAAACTGCATAAGATTATATTATTATTATTATTATTATTATTAAACGAGAAACATATAATAAAATATGAAAGGCATCACGCTGCGTACATACACACACCTAAATAAGTAATGATTAGAAAAGAAAAAAAAAGAAAAACGCCAACGAACGATTTATCGCAATTTTATAAAGGTACATACGTAAAGCACACACACACAAACACGGTGTGCACATAAGTATATCTGTCTCATTAATTGTTTTAATTATTTTAATCAGCGTCGTCGTCGTTGTCGAGCCCGCGCTCTTGTCGCCGAAATTGTTATTTTAATATTATAAAAAAAAAAAAAATGTTTAAAAATGCGCGCGCTGAAAAACTCGACGGGCGACCCGCCGGTCGCGGCGTCAACACCTCTCGCCGTCGCCGCTGTGCGTCATAAAGCACTTGACGTCTCGCCCGCCCCTCCGTGCACATCACTAATACCCGTCCGGTGTATAGTCGCGCACCTGTCCCTACACCGGGATTTCGCATACTCCGCGGAGAATCTCTCCACATACACAGACACAGTCGTCACAGTAATAACAATAATACCTACCATAATAATAGCCTTATAATAATATAACAATATAACGACTCGTACCACGAGCGGGCGGGCGGGCGGGCCGGCTCCACAATGGAATTTCTCTGCAGTGTCGTAAATCCGACAGAATTTCAGAGAGAGAGAGAGAGAGAGAGAGAGAGAGATATAGAAAAAAAAAAACCATCGCCTCATTGGTATCCCGACGAGTAGGCGAGAGTGGTGTTTCGATTGCGGTCAACACGTGCACCGGCACTGCACCGACGACTACACCGTTGCGTGTAAACATCACCGCGCACAGGTATAAAATATTATATGGATCGGCAGCACCCGCGCGCCCGCCGTTTATTGCCCATAATCTATTGTTATACGCGTATATAATGGGTAGGCGGGGAAGCGGGTTCCCGTGTACGAGCTATTGTGTACAGAGTGATTCTTATACATCGTATACGAACCAAGACGATATGGTTATTGTTTATATACGATTGCTTTATATTTTTTTTTTACAGTCTTTATATTATCGAATCGTTTAAGTTTCGAGATTTTACTCATTCTCCCTCTCTCCCCGCGGGAACCGCATTATTTCCGAACCAGCATTCGAAAAGATACAGTATTTTTCTAAACGTAATTATTATTATTATTATTTCTATCGCATTTTTTATGGTATACGAGCGTCACCAAAACTATATACGGTGTTACAGTGACATGTAATAATCTACGCGTGGCAATAATAAGAACAATCTAAAAAATTAATGCCAAAGGTGACTTCCCCGCGGTGTCAACGTGTCTAAGCGTCTACAGTCGGGTGCCAAGTGTCCTTATACCCGTTTGCAGTGGCTCCGCCGAGTTCTCCCGTTGTCCCGTCGAAGGCACGAAGAAGACAATGGCTTATTATGCGGGAGATGGGCCGCGGTCACAATCCGGACGATCTCTAATTTCGAAACATTTCCAATACCTCGGACGCAGGTATGATAGCTGCGGGTATTACGCATAGCGCTCTGACGTCGGATGCGCCGTTTATGAAAACTGTTTAAAATGTACACCGGAATAACAGTGTACGGAACCGCGATAAATTGCATATCATCCACGGCGTGTAACGGCGATAACCGTCCCCGATTTCTCTTCCAGCATAAAACTCTCATCACGCGTAAACGGCGTTACTCGTAAATTCATATCCGACATCATATTTTGTTTTGCAAGAGCATCTCCAATATTCTCTTATCGAATCGAGATATTATACGGCTGTTACACCGTTCGAAACCAACGGTGGGGGGGAGGGGGGTTAATTTTGAAAACACTCGTATATCGTTAACAATTAGTGCATCGTTAAACGAATCGGCACAATCGAAAATATCCGCCGGGTCGTCGCAAATGGATCGCCCTGTATACGCACAAAATACGATATGTCCGCGGACTGCGGGCATTATAATCCGTATAAAGACATGCACATTGTATATTATACGGCCCACTCGCAATAATAATATTATAATAATAATAATAAAAAAAAAAAAATAATAATAATAATAATAATAATCGTAACAATATAATAACGCGCGTAAAACCGTTTACAGGCGACGCCGGGCGGCGTGTAAGCGGGCGGAAACAATAATAATAACGACGTTAATAATAATATTTGAATACCATTGTGTTGGCGGACACGACGATCTCGGGCGAAATTAACAAGCCGAATTACCGTAACCTCCGCCACCGGGTATAACAAACAATACGAAAACAATGTTGTCGGCAGTGACCCTTTACGGAAATGCACGTGGTCACGATCGGGTACTGGCACGACAGTACACGACGAGAGTGGTACAAGGGAAAGATCCGCGAGCGTTTCGCCTGTTACCGCGACATTCGCAATACCGACCGGTTGTTTTAGCGTTACCGGCAGCGGTTGAATTCGTCGGTTTTTACGTGTGTTCGTCTCTTTGTACGCAAATTCGGTGCCGCCGGTAAGCAGTCCGTTATATCTCAGCTACGGCTCGTCCAGTGACGTCATTTGGGAAAGAGCTGGACAGGCTTTGCCCTCCCCCCCTCGGCCTTGCCATCAGTGGGCTGCTATAGGGCCGGTTACGGGCTAGTGTGTCGAGCTAGTTTTGGGCCATAAGCCCGCGAACACGATTCATGTCATTATGTCTTATGATTTATTTACGACCACTGAGCTACAGTTTTTAAAGGTTTGTTTGCGATAATAATTGTTTCCATTTTTTTTTTTTTTCTAAGTATACTCCATACATATTTACGAAAATACGACTTAAATTGGGATAAAACTCCCTTCTAATTAAATATACATATAGTAGCTAATAGGTAATATATTTAGGTATCCCTCTACAATCAACATATATGTATATATATTTAGTTATTATCGTCTCTCAAAAACACGGGTTATTATTTATGGCTATAAGAGTTAATATAAAATGATGTAATAAGAATATTTGTATTGAAATAAAAATGTAATTTTCGTTTATATAGCAAACGGTTTTTCGTTTAGTTTTATCACGGGTGAGTCAAAACTTTTGCCCTTTCCCCTCTAAAAAAAACTAAATTGACGCCACTAAGCTCGTTCCCGCTCTCCACGTGAGTCCCGATGACCGTTTGCATCGAGACACCTCGGCGGATAAGAAATATTTTATCAACATCGAAGGTGTCGACTGTATTATCACGAATCGTACTGGAAACACACCGTCATACATCGTCACCAATATCTACGTTCTTTTTTACGTTAAAAAAATCCAATATTTAAATAACGCAGTTGTAATGCATCTCCCCCTTCACCCGTTAAACGTAAAGTTGTTTCAAATCCGTCCACGCGAGAATCCAAGAGAAATACGTAAGACAACTGAACACAACAGAATGACGAAACGCACACTTTTTGATCAGAAGTCCTACGACGATGATAATTTTATTGTTTATTTGCTCCATCGCACGCACATTCACTTGCACTTTTCAATACACACCACACGTAATATTACGGAAAATGTTTAAGCGTGTTATTATAATATTATACGAGCACTGTGCAGTTGGCGGGCGTCCAGAATAACGTGTTTCGAGCGGCAATTGTCCGTAATCAATTAAAATCGGGAACGGTTCAAACTATCATATCGTACTATGTACAGGAATGTCGGAAGACGAAATCGTTTCGAGTGACGTTTACGGCCGTCGACTGTGTCCGTGAACATTGACACAGGAAGACTGCGTGCAGGGAGGAGAAAAGTCGAAATAATAATATAGGCCAGGGACAATGATGATAAATCTCGTATACACGTCGGTGGCGCCCAGACTATATTTTTATGCCGTGGCGGAATTTGAAATTCTCAACCATCGCCCACCGCGAAAATGTGTTTTTCCGTCTGCATTTTACCATCCGAAAACCAATAAGTATACATTTTGAATTCCGTATCCGTTCTACCCGGTTGTCTCGAATCGCCGCAATCGCCGGCAAACGCCTGCCCGAAAAAAAAAAAAAGACGTGTAGCAACGCCGCTACGCTCTAAATACACGGTTCGGGCGCCGCCGATCCGCGCATGATGCGTACGCAATAATAATAACGTAATACAGGCGGGTTCGGTCGGACGGTACGGCCCGCTCTGCGCGGACGTTTCGTTCGGTTGTTTTATTATTTTTTTTT